ATCGAGACATGTCAAAGATTACAAAATGTATGGTTTCCATAAGGAACAAAATACTTTTAATCAATTAATTTCAAAATCAGATAAAAATGATTACAAGATTGTATAATTTTCTTTTAGAAATGAAAATGGAAGATGAACAAGTTAAAGAAACAGTAACATGGGCACAGAACTTTGAGTATAACATTGAATTGCAGAAGTGGCAAAAGTTGTGGGAAAGAAATGTTAAGATAACCTTGGCAACTTCTTATAAAGAAAACTTGTATAAAATGTTTTATAGATGGTATTTATCACCCAACAGATTAGCTAAAATGTTTCCGAATATGTCAAACAAGTGTTGGAAATGTAAACAGAAACCTGGCACCTTTTATCATATGTGGTGGACTTGTGATAAAGCAAAAAAATATTGGGTTAAAATACTTGGCTTGTGGAAATGTTGCAAAGATCTGTAATGTTTATACCAGAAATATTTCTGTTAGGCATTCTCCCCCAAGATCTTGATAAACAAAGTATATACTTGACTTTGCATGCAATAACAGCGGCAAGGATCGCATATGCGCAATGTTGGAGAAAAGAAGAGCTACCGGCTGAAGAGTTGATCTTGAACAAGATATTGGACTGTGTAGAAATGGACAGACTGACTTTATCTCTTAAGGAAAAAGAAGATACAGTTTACTACCATATATGGGACTTTTTCTATCAATGGCTACAGAATTGGAACTCTAATTTGGGCTGAAATACATAGCATTTGTAGAAAAGACTTTGTACACAGTATGTCTGAAGTCTTTGAAACAATTATTTGATTAGTGAGTAGAAAACAATAAAACTCTGAAATGCTAAAAGGAGGCGCAGCAGCATGGAACTGAATCGGCCATGTGGTCGAGATGGAGCACACATGGCCAGCAGGGAAGAAGAGAGAAGATCTGGAGCAAGAAGGACAGAGAAAGGAGGAGAGGGAGAGAGGCGGCAAGCTTCTCTCCCCAGGTGAAAATAAAGCTGCGAAAGAAAAGGGTTTTTGTTTTGTTTTAAGGAAAGGAGAAAGCGAGGGGGGGGGAGGCAAAATGGCGAACTGGTGAGTAGAGCGAGTGGAAGGTGATCTGAGGCGAGCTCAAAGTGCAGTCGCTAAGGAACTGAGGGACTGGGAGGGAGCCGCTCCCTTTATACTGCCTGCGCAAGGGGTGGGCCCGACTCCCACCCACTCCATGGCGCCGTGCTTTGGAAGTTCCTCCGATTAAGGCCTTGCACTGTGTGTCAAGCCCATTGGTGTGTTTGCATGGAGACCACGAAGAAGAACAGCCTTTTCTGGTCCTTTTGCCAGGGCTCATGGTCTCAGCTGATAGGGTTGGAGTCAGTCACACATTCAGCCCATTGCCATAAGGCAAATTTAAAGTGATCTGTCCACTGCCGGTGTGTTTGTTTGTTTTTTAAATGCCTGGCACTGCAGGCAGATCTGTACTACGTGCCCCTTGCCAAGGCAGAGAAAGCAGTGTGCGATAGGCAGGCATGCAGTGCACAAGGTGTAGCTGGGAAAGGCCAGATCGGAAGCCATGCTGAAGATGAAGGAAAGCAGGTGGAGGAAAGGGGTCTTTTTTCTCCTTCCTTAAAGGGAAGTGAAGCGGGAAAGAAAAAAAAGTCTCCAGGTTGCAAAAATAATTTCAATAAGATTTTATTCTGAGTATAAAAAGAAGGTGGAAAAAGAAAGAGGCAAAGGCTTGCTTGCTTGCTTTCTTTGGTAAGAAGCAAAGAAAAATGGTAAAGGGAAAAAACATGCAAAGGTAAGAACAAAAAAGCAGCTGCAGAGTCTGATATCCGATCTAGCAATATGGTTGTGTGTGCAGTCGAAAGGAAATGTGGGTCTGAGTCACATTCTTATCCTGGGAAGTTTTTTCTGATCTAGGCCTAGCACTGCAGGGCAAAGTCCTTATGTATGATACACAGAAAGCAAGACAAGGAACACTCAGTTCCTGATGCTGGTGGTGGTCACAGCAATGTAAAGGTGGTACCTGAAATCTGACAGGATGCACTGCACAACATAATGTATGAACCAAGCTTATCTGGCTTGTCTCTCCTCCAACAGGTTCTTCGGACAACAAGGCAAATGATGGAGCATTCCTGGGTTAATTGCTTCAGAGTAAGAGCAATCAAGTAACATGCACTAGCAGAGTAGCTCATTCACAACAAGCCTTAAGGACTGATGGTAATATATAGCAAGTGCCCTCCCTGGGAATTGTAACATACATTATAAATGCTTACCATTGTTAGACTTTGCTAGTGACCTCATGGGTCAAGTTCATGTTTCATTCATGAAGGGATTTTGGTGTCAGCAATAAAATTGCCATGTAAAATCAGCTAAAACTTTGCTCGAATTAATGCTATCCTGTGGTTTATATGAAGAAAACTTACCAAAAGGAACACTGTAAAGTTACCAGTACAAAAATTTGGAAAAATATTTATGTGTATGTGCAAAGCTGATTTCAGAATATGAATTTAACAATACAGTTAACTGGACTTAGGAAAAACATTGGAAAGCTCAAAACCTATGGCAATGGTCATATAATTTGGGAACATGGCCAACAGGTAAAATGATGTATTTTAGTAGTACCTAAATGTAAGGGAAAGTCCTTGGAAATGTAATGTCCTTCAATATTTATAAAATAAATTTCCAAGAGAAACATGGCACATGGTGAAAGAACATACTTTTCAACATTGTGCAAAGACATGAAAACCAAAGAAGCCACTTACATATAGGCATTACCTCCTGTTTCTGAATATATGACTTAGGTCAGCCACCAGTTTCTGTTCAGTGACTGGAACAAATATGAATGGACGGCAACTAACTCAACTTTATCTAAAGAATGATGTTCCAAAATTTGACATCATCAGTTTTGAGTCTTTCTGTATCATAGAAATCTAGAAACCAGAATTCTAGTTATTTCTAACAAGAATTCTCCCCCCCCCACCCCGCACCACCACTTCCAGATACTATCTCATTTAGTTATATGAAACCTGCTTGATCAGACCTTGACCAGATCAGTGTAGCCAGCCCTACATCCTGTTTCCACACAGTGGCTAGCTAGGCACCCATGAGAAATCCCCAAGAACTCTCAATGCTCAAGTTCTTTGAGGAACTTAATAAGTAGGTTTGTATTGGAAGAGGAAATTATTTGGGCAGCTTAGCTCACATTTCCCAAGGTTGTTTTAGCTGTTTTAGCTGCAGCAGGATCACAGATTATAGTGATGTGCACCATGGCTAATAGTTACTCTGAAACATAATAAAAAGCACTTGAGTATCTAAGTGTTTTGGCCTACAATTCCCATTAGCCTTTCTCAGCACAGTCCATTATAGGAGTTGCAGGGCAAAACATATGGAAAACCACAAGATGCCCATGTTGTGATCTAAAAATATTTGCTTTACCCCTTCTTGTTTCAAATAAAAGTCTAAGGGTTTCCACAATATTGCCTTTAAATTTAATATTTTAACCTGAATTCCTGAAACACAAGATGTGTGCATGGCTATTGAATGACTGGAAGATTCTTTTCTCTGTTAAAAGCATTGATTAATTTTGCCTAGTGCCAATATGAAGTAAGCCTGAGGCGTCTTCTCCCAGTTACTGAGAATAATTAACACAGATGCACACTTACATATCTTTCAGGAAGAGCTCAAGGAAAACTTGGAGCAACTTAATTGTTAAAAACACATCGATAACTATGGGAAACTATTGATATACCACCATGAAAATTCTCCAAGCCTCAATCCTAAATACAGTGAATTTATTCTGAAATTTCCAGCTTTTAGGCCACTGTCTAGAAAGGTCCCTAAGAATATAATTCTGATCAATTCTAAGTACATTTGATGGACTGTACTACTCATTGATCAAATCAGTGGAATTCTGAGCTAACTTTATTTAATGATAATCTAATACACATAATAGTTTCCTATAGTTCAATCATACCTTGACTGTAAACTCACCTTTCAGAAAGAAAAATCATCTGTTGGAAACGAACTATACAAAGCCACAGGCATGAAACTAAGGTTCTATCATAATTATAACAGAAACCACCCTTAGGCTTCAATTTGTAATATAACAGACTATCATTTCATGTCCTACATGTGGTCAGTTTTTACTTCAGTCAAGGACTGTTTTAAAGGGTAATATTTTCTCAGACATATTTCAAAATTCTTCCTCATATGAAAGAGACTAACATTAAGTAAGGCATTTTAATTCTTTCTTCCCATTAATAAACACTGCCAATAAATGGAAAGCATATAATGTAGGAACATTTTTATACTTATTTCTCTTCTTCGATGCATATTATTAAATATATGATAAAATAGGTTTTAATTGCCCTTCCCCGGGTCTTAACCTGCACTTATCATCATTTACACCCCAGCCATCTTCCAAAGAATTCTATATAACAAATAACATCCAGATATAAAAACACATATTTGACTTAGTAAAACCAAACATAACAAACATTTCTCTATGCCCAAATTGCTTTGGATAGGAGCATACCTATACAGTTGCTTCCCAGAAGCCAAAGTTCTACTAAACATTACCAGGTTCCTTGGAATTTAGCAGATTAAAGATACCAAATTTATTCAACACAATCCTGCTTCCAAGCTTACTCTAATATAACTTCTGTTCATTTAATTATCTCTCTCTCTGTGTGTGTGAAAAGGTAACTTTGTAATGATAGCACTGCAATCAAATCCCAGGCTGTAGGGGACTCTCTGAAGAACCATATTTTGTGAAGATTAAAGTTGTCACATTCTAAATAAAACAAGTTTAAAAGTTTCCCCTTGGGATGCTAAGCAAATAGTTGTTTGATATCCATCTGCAGGTAACAACAAAATTATCTTTCTAAACTCAAATATATGAAATTTAATCTAATATAAACACAGCAGACAAAGGACCCTAACTGTAGTGCAATGTTGTATTTGTAATGGGGGGGGGGGGCCGGGGAGCCACAAAGAATGTTTTAATGTCAATCACAACTCTTACCGATGTGTACCATCCAGATTTGATCGGTGAATGAAGTTCAGTTTAGCATCTGCCCAATACAGCTTCTGTTCTTCATAATCTAAGGTTAATCCATTTGGCCAATAAATGTCTGAGCTGATTATAACTGAGCGGCTTGTGCCATCCATTCCAGCACGCTCTATCTTTGGCACTTCTCCCCAGTCTGTCCAATACATGAACCTAGAATTTTTAAAAAGAGAAAAGGAAAAACACATATGATAAAATGTTCTTCTCATTCACATCCGGAACTTTTTCCAATCAAAATGAAGGCATAAGGAACACTTATGTTTCCAACAGATTTTACTGGTCTATCAACCACAACCTTGCCTGGACAAGCAGGGCCTAGCAATGGTAATCCATGCTCTAGTAACCTCCTAACTGGACAATTGTAACACACTCTATTTGGGCATACCTTTAAAATGGTCCAGATACATCTATTGATCTAGAACAGAGCTGCAAGGACTCTAGACAGGACTAACAGATGTTTCTGAAGGTCTAAGACCCAGAAGAATGAAAAAGCATGATGGGACTTACCAGACTGAGAAAAGTGAGAGGCCAGGAGTGGTTGGAGAATGGAATATAACAGATAAGCCCACACTGTACCATCCGGAGAGACAATGGAATGTGATGAGAGTGCGTGCGTTCAACATAAAGACCAGCATGTTCTGTCAGCAATGCTCAGAGAAGTTCACTGTTCAATCCAGTAGGACTAAGCTGATAGAGTCAACTTTAAGGTATAAAATGACGGCTTTCCAGCTCCCGTGTGTGCCAGAACAGCGCTGTTACTGGTCACCCACAGTCCCAATGGATCACCAAGAGGGTCTATTGGCTGTGAATATGAGTGTTGCATGAATGAGGCATCTTGATATTGTTGCTGGTGATTGCTGAACTTGTATACTTCTGTATTCTTTATACCATAGAATAAATGTTACATGGATAGAGTTTAAAACCAGATCTAGTGTTCAGTCTCTCTTTGAGAAGGGCTTTCCTTGGAAACCTGATAGTCTCCTCTTTACTGAATCAAGGACCGCTTTATTATGGTCACACAGACATGACCACATAATGCCAGTCCTGCATCATCTTCACTGGTTACTGATTGACGTCCGGGTCCAATTCAAGGTATTAACATTGATATATAAAACCCTAAATGGTTTAGGGCCTGGGTATCTTAAAGAACATCTCCTTCCATATACACCTGCCTGAACTTCGAGATCTTCTTCTGAGGTCCTTGTGAGAAGTAGAAGATTACTGTGACTAACGAACTAGAACAGTTAAGGCTATAGATCACTTAGAGATTAATGAAGTTATTGTGACTAACAAACTAGAACAGGTAAAGCTATGGATCACTTAGTGATTAATAAAGGTATTGTGATTAACGAACTAGAACAGGTAAAGGTATATAGATCAAGTTCTTGTGATTAACACAAACTAATAGACTACAAGATGTAATCGATAGACATGGCATTAAACTTTTGAACTTAGAATCCAAAGTATGACTGTGTAATTAGCTAATGCATATTAACGATGCCTCCTACTATGATTCAGAGGGTTATTAATATGAACATGGGACGTATGAGCAGGTGGGAGTAACATACCAAGGAGTAGTATGATGAAGGCGGATGGAGAAGAGTGTGAACTCCCAATATCCCAGCCAATGGGAGAAAGGAGGCAGGGACTTTGTGCAAGAAATAGAGAATAAAAGGCTGTGTAAACTGCTCCTCCAGTGCACTACCTTCGGGATGAGTGCCCGGTCTGCCCAGAACGTATGAAACTCTTGCTGCTTGGTACTTTGCCTCTTGTATCATCATTGCTTGGATTTCATTCCTTACAGTTCTTCTCCAGGAACCTTCTTTGAAAAGGGCTAGAAGAATGACTACCCAAAGGGCCTTTTCTGTGCTAGCACCCCAGCTATGGAACCTGCTTTCTAGAGAGGTGGCGCCTGGTGCCAACATTTTATTTATTTCAGCACCAGGCCAAAATGTTTTTATTCACCCAGTATTTTAATGGTTAATTGAATTTTACTGGATATTTTTAAGGGATGTTACAATTGTAGTAAAGCACATCTGGATGGCAGCAAACTAGGGACAGCTGACAAGGACTGCCATCAAATTGATGTCACTGCCAAAATGGCTTTATTGTCCATGCATCTTTTGTCCATGCAAATTTATTGTCCATGCAAATTTCTTCAGTGGAGCCTAGTCCAACAGTTTGGAAGCAAAATAAGGCCACCCAAAAGTAAAGTAACAGTTGTTGTACATATAAAGGACTTGTTAGGAATGCAGGAATATATCTAGACTTTTAACAAGCCCTATAAGCATATATGCTCAGTGTGCTGTAGTGGTTAAGAAAGCAGAACTGAGAAAAAATTGCTTGTAGTTACCACTAAGTCAGGAGCTCACTGGATGATTTTGGACTAGTCACAGACTCTCAGCCTAACCTACCTCACTGGCTTATTCTTGTGAGGATAAGAAGCCATTAGTTCCTTAAAAGGAAAAAAAGGTGGGATATAAATATAATTAATAAATGAGGACAGTTTAAACAATGGATTTTGAAGGTATGAGTTGGAAGAAAGGAAAAGGGAGGTGTTTTATGTGGAGCTGATGGTGAAGGAAGGAATTGGACTGTTTAACCCAGGAGTAAATAGCTTTCCTGTAGGTCATGGGTCCTCAAACTGCGGCCCGCCATGCCCATCTAGCCAGCCCGCCTCAGAGGTTTCAGACTTGCCGCTGCTGCATGCCTCACGTGCACATGGGGAGGTGGCAGCTTGCTTGCGTGGAGATTGTTTTGGACTCGCTCAGAGAAAACAATCTTCAAGCAAGCAAGCTGCTGCCTCGCACACCTGACGCTGCCTTGCTGTGCGCGCCCGCTTCTGCCTCTCCTCCCCTCCTCTTACCAAACATGCACCCCCCAGCCTCCCCTCCCCTCACCACGCACACCCGTCCTGCCTCGCCTCGCCTCCCCTTACCATGCCTGCCCTCCCCCACCTCGCCCGCCTGCCCTCCCCTCGCCTCCCCTTGCCACGCACTCCCACCCCCTCGCCAGCCTGCACATGCCGCCGGCATCACCTTTCCGGCCTGCACCCAGCACTGGCACCTTTCAACTGGCCCCCTGTTGAAAAAGTTTGAGGACCCCTACTGTAGGTAATATTACCCATCCACCAGTTCTGAAGCCGAAAACTTCCCTCATCTGTACTGAGAAGTGAGAAATCTGCCTCCTAAAACCTTCCCCTCACTCCAATCGCTATATGGCAATGAAGGACTCAGCTGCAGGCTGGCAGCCATCTCTGAACCTATACTTGCACATTATGCATAACCATAGGAAACATTTTAGGAGGGTGCAAAGGCAAACACATGTTTCTTTTCTTTTCTTCCCTCTTGAAACCTCACCCTGACAAACAAAAGCATGGCCTTAAACAAAAACACAATGCTCCTGGCTCCAAGCTATCCAACTGAAGCCCAGAAAAGGTTACACTCCTTTTAGGAGCTTTACTGCAGTTCTCCACATCTCCCATCTAATAGCAAACTTGAATAGTTGAGCATCTATCATTTTAGAAGCAAAATGGGGACTTGAAATAGCAAGCTATATGATGAGCCATAGAGGAAGAGACTTCCTGGGTAAGCAGTGCATTTGTTTATAAATGAAAAGAACAAAAATGTTTTAAAACCTACACACCACCTGACAAAAACTCATTGGATTCCAAGAACCAATGTAAATAGTATCAGTTGTCTGAGGTGGATGGGGAAGAATGGGGACAGGAAATTAGGTTAGCTGATGAAAGCTGAGGTGTGAGGCAATGAATACACCAATGGAGTGAAGTTGTTGTTTTATTTTTTCCCATTTTTTACTATCCAGTGAATAGAAAAACAACTCCTAATTGCTGAAAGGGGCAAAATGTGGAGTTTATGACAGACCTATAGAGCCCATGGTTAATTGCCTGCCTAGTAAGAAGATCATTTGTGACCCTTTTTACGCCTGATAGACAATGCTAAGAAAGAGTCAGTGGCTGAGGTACATATCTGTAGCAATAACTTTAGTCATGAGGTCTGGATGCCAAATTAAGATTGTTAGGAATATGTAGAAGGTTGAAAGCCAGGACCTTCCAAGGGTTGCAGGGGAACATGCCACAGATACATGGAGAAGAATTCAATGTGCAGATATTTCTCTGCTGACCAGAAGCCTCTGACACAAGCTTACAAATGCCTGGTTTGTGGTGGTATCTACTGAAGAGTTCTTAAAGAGCTTGAATGCTAAAATACTGCTTTTCTAAACAATATGTAATGTGTCCCTAAGATTATCCTTTGCACCAGAAGAATACAGAGTTGCTTATATAACCCCTGTTCTTGAAAAGGGATCTAAGGAATTACATGCAGGAGCTTAAGAATTATTCCAGTTAAATTAGTGTGAAATATTAAAAATAAAACTAACAAGCATAGAAAAGGACAAGCCTAACATGCCTTCTACAAAGCTAAGATCTATGTTTCTAAACTGTCAGAGTCCGTTAAAGGCTTCAATAAATATGTGGACAAATGTGATGCCATGAACAGTGTTTACTTGAATTTTAAAAAGGCTTTTCACAATGTCCCTCACCAAAGACTTCAGAGCAAGTTTAGCACTCATAGGCTAAAAAGAGAGGTCCGCTATGAATCTATAACAACTTAAAAAACAGAAATCAATGGGTAGGAATAAGTGCACAGTCCTATAAATAAAACGATGTTAACAGTGAGGGTCCCTTGAGTATACATGGTAGGATTTTTCATTTGTTCATAAAGGAACTGGAATTATAGTGAGTCATGCTGTGGTCAAGGTTTCAGTTGAAAAGTCAGGTTGCTTACCTGTAACTGTCGTTCTTCAAGTGGTCATCTTTGCAGTCACACATAATGGGTACTACGCCTGCTCAGTGCCTGTTGTCAGCCAGAATACTCAAGCTACAATGGTTTTTGGTGGGAATGTCGCACCCCTCCCCCTTGGTGCACCCGCCATTTTCCTCAGTCTCTGGAGACCGGCAAATGGCCCCCTAGCGGAGCATGCCATTTAATAGTTGATAGAAGAGACTACCATCCCGGCCTTCGACACCAAGTGGGGCTGGAGGGCGGGTTGTGTGACTGCACAGATGACCACTCAAAGAACGACAGTTACAGGTAACCTGACTTTCTTCTTCATGGTCTCTGTGCATCACACAT